GGTGACAGTGCAGAGGCTGCTTGGGATTCTTTCTCTGCTCCTCTCTCCACCCCTCCTCTGCTCACTCTCTCTCTCTCTCAAAAAATAAACAAAAAAAATAAATAAAAATAAGAATATTGATATAACAAATTCCAATGAAAAATTAACCTGAAATTTCCTTTACTCCAAAGACTCAGTGTAACCTCACACTCATAAGACAACTCGGGAAGTAGCATTTCTTCTTCCTGACTTTGGAGAGGCTTCAAGTCAGGATACTAAACAAAGATTAAAGTAAAATATAAACTTACCCGAAATACACTCGGCAGGAAAGCCTTTAGAAGAAAGAATATCAGCCAAATGTTGTGCTCTATGAAAAATAACACAGAGGTTATAATTTTATAAATATGGCCCCATGCCTATCCTTTTATTTCACAAGTTCCCCAAATGACCTTTTAAGGTACATTACCTGCTGTGCAAATTAGAAAAGACTAAGGCTTGATTAAACGGAATTCTGCTGAACAGTTCCTGTAAATGCTGAGCCTTTTCCTCAAAAATCTTATGGGCCAAAGGGTATGAATTGACAACTCTGTAATACTGCTTCAAACCTGCAAAGAAGAGTCCTCTGTTAAAACAAAACATATTTGCTATATCCTAATAGCAAATATGAAAGCAACAGCCAACTAGGCAAGGGAAAGCTCCAGGGTATCACAAACAAACCAGTAATGTAAGTATCCAATATCTGTACTCACCTAGGAGACTCGGATCACTGGAATTTAGTCTTACAAAAGTGGGATCTCTCATGTACCTTGTCAAAGCATTAGCCAAATATTCAGGGTAGGTGGCTGATACGGCCAACATCTGTTTACTTGCAGGCAAGGAAGAATAAATCCAGCTGCAAAATACAAGAAAAACACACACCATGGAAACTAATCAAACAGTAACTACCACCTGTTAAAGCTAAAGATAGACACTTTAGGACACCATTTTAATAGTCCAGCAAGTTATTTTTCTTACTTTATTTGCTCCTGGAAGCTGCCTTCTTCTAAAAGCTTATCTGCTTCATCAAGAATAAAGAGACGTATACTGCCTGGGTTCAAGTAGTCAAGTTCTATTAGTTGTTTAATTCTGCCTAAAGTCCAGAAAAAAAGCATATTGAAATATTTAAGATGCACTGAATTTGTGCAAATCTCAGCCAGTGTTGTTACTCTACTCACTCACAGGTTATACTGTTGATTTTCTTGACCCGACCTTCGTTATTATACATTTACGCACCGAACCACAAATTAGAAATGTTGAATTCTATCTTGCCTAAATCCATTATTTCTTCCTCATATTTCACCACCAATAAGCACAGATCATAAACACTACTCCCATCAAAAGACTTGAATGCTAAGGCCCTGAATACTAAATTCTGATCTGAGTGATTCTTGACTGAATGATTAATAGAGAAGCAAAGAATAAATCCCAATCCATGGCTTAGAAAGGCTTCTTGAAAATCATCTCCTTTCTCCTCTTTTCATAAGCCAATTCCATAGGTGCACTTAAACAGCCTCAGGGATGGAGAGTTCCTACATTCTGCTGGTAATTCCAGTCACGTCTAAAGCCTCGCTTATAATCCTCAAAATAATTATCAGAGTTATCAAAGATTCCCATATTCTTACATCAATTATTTCATATTACCTATATTAAAAGTGTTCAGTTCCTTAAAAGCCCCAGTTATGAACAGTCATTGATATCTTACCAGGAGAGCCAACAGCAATATGGCACTTTTTAAGTCTGGTTTTGTCTTGTGATAATGGAGTCCCTCCAATAAAGACATGACACTCTAAGCCTTCCATTTTTATTCCAATAGCTGTAATAACAGAATGTATCTGTACAGCAATTTCTCTTGTAGGAGCCAAGATCAAAATCTAAAAAAGCATAAAATATATACACTTTTAATGAGTCAGTGGAACAGATACATGTGGTTGGCACATTTTGCATTATAATGAGCTAGTTTTCATTTAACCAATCATTTTAAATGATGAGTTTTTACTGACAAGGGAAACTATTCCATTCATTCACATATATATTCATTCAACAAACACTGAGTTGAATGAATTGCCTACCTACTAGGCAACATATAAGTTGCTGTGGAGTCAAGAGTTAACAATACACAGTTCTTGCCCTCAGGGCACTTTCATTCTGTGTAAGAAGACATACAACAAACAAACGGACATAAATAATGGCATACAATAAGAGTTGGGGGCGGGGGGAGAAGTGAAAAAAGAAGGGAAGGAGTTATTTTAAATGGAGCAATCAAGGAAGGCCACTAAGGAAATAACATTTGAGCAGAGACCTAAATGTACACGGCAGAGTAGAGCTTAGCTATGTGACACCTGGGGAAATGATTTTGGGAAGAGAAATAGCAAATGTAAAGGCCTCAAGACAGTAACATTCTTGGTGTACCTGAGGAATAGCAGGGAGGCCCTTGTAACCAGACCTAGTCAGGGTGAGATTTCTAGCTCCATGAAAAGGAGCTTTAGGGAGTCAAGGTGAGAACTTTGCAAAATAATTAACTACTGGAGGACAAGGTGAAACTACATGTTCTGAGCTAGGAGAAGGAAAAAACTGCTTTAAAAAAAAAAACTAGGAGAAGAAAATATGCCAAAACGGTTAACAGCAGTTTCGCTCTGGGTAGGTGAGATTATCAGATGCGGTTATCTGGTACTTCTTGACTTTTCTGAAGTTTCCCAATTTTCAAAATTAAATTTGAGAACACAAAGATCTTAAGTTTAAATATACAAATTTGGTTTATGGCACTTTTCAGGGTTTTGGCATTTCATCTACTCCCAAATTATCAGAAACCAAAATCGCAAATACATCTCAATTCAACAGGCCTCAATTCTAGGCCTAGAATAGCCTAGGTCTTTGGGAAGCTGAAGGATTTCTTACGTGCATAACCCAGGATTTGGTAGATATGAGTCAAGAAGCTTTGAATACGGATATCCTAGCATACTGTTTATACATAACATGCGCTTGAAAAATCTTTGTTGAAGAAATTATTTCCAAACCTAAATCTCTTATTAGTTTGGGTTCTCTTAGACCTACTCCAAGAGAACCTAGAAGATGGGAGATCAATAGGATATACTCACAAGGCTGTAAGAACCACCTGCAGTTACCAGCAATAGCCAGAGCACTACATTATCATCAATCAGGCCAAATACTAAATCTTATCACAACCGGATCAGCAAGTAGAAGAACAAAGAAAACCTATCTGTATTCCCAAGTACTGAAAAAACTAACACACATGGCATTATTCTATTTAAGATGCGGTGATAAAAATTTCCAAATTTCTAACACTAATAACATATCCTTGGTCACCATCCACACCACCAGCACTCAAAGGCTTTAATGTCTACTTCTATGCTTTTCATATGGCTCACCTCAATCATTCGTTAAATTCACCTCTTCTCTCAGGAGCTATGGTATTGCGTCCAACCCGCGATAATAAAATCCACGTAACATACCCTCCTTTGAGTCCTCTCAGTTAGACTCACCTGGGTACTTAGGTTTTCAAGAACCAGAGAGTCCAAAGCAATGGTAGAGAACACACACGTTTTCCCGGTGCCAGATTTAGCTTGGACAATTAAATCTGAGGAGAAAAAATATATACTGTATATCGCTAACCAGTACCGACTAAAGAAGCTTAGATACCGACACGAAACCACATGATCACAAGGGTCTCCAGAAGATCACTGGTTGGCACCTTCGTTTTTAGTGAACTCTCAAAAAAGCATCGGGCCATATCCAGAAACAGGGCTCGTCCCTGAACCTCTACCGTTTATCTTCTCGAACGGAGAGCCAACTGTCACCGTGAAAAGGGCCGTAACCATCAACGCCGCGTCTCTTACAGGGGAAACTGAGGCTCGAAAGCATGCAGCGCCCGGACGCAGGCCGGACCCCGCACCCGCTCCGGGACTCCTCCGGGACCCTCCCGGCCCGCGCACGGCCCCCGCCCTCACCGAGCCCGCAGCGCCCCAGCGGGATGGCCTTGAGCTGCACCGGCGAGGGTCGCTCGAAGCCGGCAGCCCGCAGCCCCTCCAGCACCGGCCGCGACAGCAGCAGCGACTCGAAGTCGGCCGGCTCGGCCAGCAGCACGTCCCCCGTGCGGGTCCGTGGGCCGCTGACGTCGTGAGCCGTCCGCAGGCTCCGCACCGGCCCGGGGGGTGGCTCCGAGGCCGCGAGCTGTGCGGCCACACGCTCCGCCGGCATAGCGGCCTCCACCGTCTCTAAGGCCGCTGAGGCTTCAAACGCCGCCGCCATTGTAGCCGCGCCGCCGGATCTCGCGGTACTTGAGGCGAGGGCGGGAGCCTAAGAGCGAGAAGAGGAAAAACTTTATTGGCAGTCCTCCCAGGAAGACACGCTTCGGCGAGGGGCGAAGGGACGGAAGTCGGAGGCTCAGGAAGTCTCGCAAGCAGCGATAACGACAAAACAATGTGGCCCGAGGAAGGCCGAAAGAAGGAGGAGAGAGAGGCGGGGGCTACCGGTGTGCGGCCGCTGGCAGCCTGCAGAGGGCGCCGCGCGCACACAGTGGGGGCGCCGCCCCGCCTCCCGGCCCTCCGTGGGCGGTCCGCCCAGTCCCGCGCTCCGCCCCGCGCCACCCTCAGAACGCCGGCTTTGTGAGGCGCGTGCGGCGTCACTCCCCCCGCCTCCCGGTCACTGGCGGCCGGTGCCTCCGGCGGAGCCTATCCCCGCCTGCTCGAGGCGGCTGGGGCACAACCAGACTCGGCTTCCTCGTGGTCCGGTCCGTGTCTGTCTCGGCACCGCGTCACTCTTCTCTGTCGCCAGCCCGAGCACGGCCCCTGGCACACTCAGCTCC